GGGGGGGGGGAATAAGTAGAGGGAACTTTACACAGGCTTTAGTTTTAGCAATGCTTTGCTTCAGGCTGCATGTACCAACCAATAAAGGAACATTTATCTGAACCAGGCCTGGTTTCACGAGAATTCTTCTAAATTGGGGTTCGGACTTCGTGGACTTGACAAGGAGCTTTTGTTTCAAGCCTGACCTCAGTTGGCTGCATCTGTACACTTTTGTGATAGTTTTTTGGAAGTAGTTCACCGCTGTTTTCTTCCAGGATGGGTTGGTTAGTTTACTTGCTGTTGCTTTCCCAACCTAGCCTACAGCCCTGGGGTTGCCTAGTGGTCTAAAACTCCAGGTCTTAGCTGGCTCTTGCTTAGCTTCTGAGATCAGCCAAGGTTGGTTAGATGCTGCCACTGGCACTAGATAAATGCTTCACTCTAAATTTCAGAAAACTGCTCAGATGGGGGATTAAAGAGCAGGTGAACCCAAGGGAGCTCTCTTCCTTTTTACTAAGACCAAATTTACACTTCCAGCTCAACGTATGTGCTCCCTAAATACACGCATCTGGGGGCATTTGTTGCAACCTTGAAGTAACTATCAAAATGGACCGGTAATTATTTTGTCCCTACAAAAGCCCTCTTCCACAGCATTTAGTGGTTGACATCATGATTCCAAAGTGATTTTGGTTCTTTCCAAAACTTTGGTTCATGTTCATGCAACCATTTCTATTCTAACAGATTATCCATTTTGTGGCTAATTTGGGGAGATGTATCTTGTGCGAGGGCAACCTCAGTAGGATATCTGGACAGCTCCATTTCCAGCTGGCTATGTTGGCTGGAAATGATGGTGCTGGAAATCTATGACAACTGGAAGGTTAACATGGGGGCTTCCTCTCAACCTTGGCATCTTTCATCTATGTGGAATTCAACTCTCAGAATTCTCAGCAGTGGCTATGCCAGTTGGAGATTCTGGGAGCTGAAGTCCACATAGTTGGTGGATACCAAGGTTGGGATTTTGAAGGGTGTCTGGACTGCTCCAAAGATCCTAGTGATGAGGAGGAAATGATAATGTCTCTATGAGGAGGAGATGATAGTGTCTCTTCAGGACCAAGAATCTTGGGTGACTGTGAGACCTCTGGGCTAGGGAGTTTTCAAACTTCTCCAGTGGTTTATAGCTTCCCTGTTCCAAAGAGTTGGAGGTCAATGCTTCTCCAAAAGCAAAAACAGCTGAGGAGGAGGAGCTGCTAGAACCCATTCCCTTTCCTCTTGGTCTCAGCAAGTAAACACTTCTCAGGTTTCAAGAACTAAGACACAGTGAATGGGAAGTCTAAGAGCTGGCAAGAGCAGGACTAACCTAGTTGATCAATCAAGTAACAGCCTGGCCATTTAAGCAAGCTTGCTGCTCATGTTTATTGTTGCTTGCCTCCAAACTCCTGGTTCTGTGCTTCATGATCCTTTTTCATGGACTCCAGAACTTGCTTCTTTCACTTGAACCAAAGAAACCAGATATGAGCTGCTAGGAAGACTGACCACTTTATGTTATGAGTGCTTCTTCTTCCTTGAGGTCTCTGCCTGGGTTTCATTGCTTCTCTCCTCTTCATGCAGCTGTTTCCCTACCTGAAGAAGCAATTGCTGCAACAGCTATAAAACAGGACAGCAGAAAGGCAGGAAAATATATTGCATGGGTGTGTCCTGGTGATTTAAAAAGATTCTCCCCCTCCTCCCCCCAAATTAAACCTTCTTGTGGCACATTCCATTCAAGCATATAGATGTGGAAAAGAGAACTTCTTAACACATTTCTGAACTACACAACCGAAGACATGTTTGGGTAAGCATTTATTGGAACCAAAAAAATAGAGTTTAAAAAGGTTGGATGAGATGAGACAAATCAGCAGAATTCCATTGACACGACTCAGAGACCCACCTCTATACCCTGATCTACAGGGGTCAAGGCTTCTTCTCAACCATCTTGCCTCCTTCATTTGGATTCAAGGAGAAAGCTGTACTTTTTTTAAGCACTGCAGGAGAAAACATCTTTGGCTTTTCCAGTTGGTCTTAGGACATGAACACACTTAATGGCAGCTCTATCCCATAATAACAAACTGGCAGAAAATGTTAAGAGTTGTCTCATGCGTTACATGCAAGGGAAGCCTGGATTTGCTGCTGAGTGTGGTACCGTGGTGAATGTCCTTGTACAATACCTATCTCAGAAGCCTGGTTATCTGCCTGTTCACATTTATGAGGGTTAGATATATCTTTAAATATCTGAGATGATCAAATACAGATGGCATTTTTCTCTAGAAAAAAGCAAATGGCAAATGGGATCAGGTTGGATCCCAGTTGCTGGGTGAACCTCTTTTTATCAGATGGCTGTTTCCCAAAGCTCAAATGTGTTGGATGACAGCCAACATTATCTTAAAGTAATCATTAAATTGCAAAGTCCTAGTGTTCCCCAAAGCAAACTTCTCCAGATGTTTGAAACTGTTCCTCAGGTCCCAAACCGACTATTCTAAAGGGGAGAAGAAATGGGACACTATCAGAGCAAGGCAGTTTTTTTAAACTTTAGGCTTCAACTCATCTTACTGGGCAACATTAAGCAACAATGAAGCTTTTAAAAAAACTCCATGCTTTGATCTGTTGGTCTATCAGCGCTCTTCCAACTTAAAATCCTTGTGAAATTTTGCATGGCTACTCAATGGTGACTTTAAAGGCACTCTGTCTATGCAGTGGACTTTCATCTCTTTAAAGGAAGACCTGGGGCTTGGCAGGAGAGCAGATTCAAGGCAAAGAGAGCACATTTTATCTTCAGGAAGTGTAAATCTCTTGTTTATGATTAGGGGTTGCATCTTAAGCAAACAGCAAAACAGATAATTTTTCACTCACTGTCACAGGGATCCATCTGCATACAAAGTCGGGGCTTAATCGCAACATAGAAGGATGAAAGTAGTTGATTGAAATACATGGGCTTCCTCTATAAACTGCTTTGACCCTAACCCTAATCTTTTTGAAATCTTCTTGATCATTTTAGGAGTTGGGCTGAGGATCACAGAATCATAGTATAGGTGTGATGGCTTATCTAACAATTTAACGTCCTGTAAAGTGCCTAATTTTTACACTGAAGATATTTCCAAGCCTTACTAGAGAAGGAACAAACACAGGATGTTTGACATTCGAAATGGGGCTGAGTGGCTACAGAAGACTGAAAAATTCCCAAGAAAATCAATCAGTCAGCTTGTTAGTTAAAATGTTATAGAATTCCTTGCCCCAATCTTGGGTAGATCCATGAACCGATTCCCAGCTAGTGAATGGAATGGGTCATGTCTTCCCTCTGGAAGTTCTTTAGAGCTTCTGTTTTCATTTCAACCCAACGTCAGGGTTGGCGACAAGTAAGATGGCAGCTCCAGGACTAGAAGCTAGAAACCAGCTTGAGATCCCAAACTTCCAGAAAGATTCCTAAAACATCTCCTGTTTAAGAAAGCAGCAGCAACAGGGGAACATGCATAATATCAGGTAGGTCAAAGATCTCCCCCAGAAGAGCAGAAACACTATAGAAATCCTTGCCTGAAAATCTTAGTAGAGTATCATATCCAAAGCTGTGGCATTCAGGGGCTCAAACCATGACAATTTTGCAGCATGAACTATTCTGCTATTGGCATTGCTTGCTCAAGCCATGGGATGCTGCCTGGCATTCTGCGAGAAAAATTCTGCAATGTTGACCATTTTGCATAACTGATCTTAGGTCTTACGAGACAGTGCAATCGGTTTTACAGGGCATAATTGTAAGAAAGCGAAAGAGGGCTTGAGCGTCCCCTCACAACTGGGGGGGAAAGAGGGACACAATTTGGCTCAACCAGGTACTCACCTGGGCATCTTGTGAAAGACCCTTTCATTCAAACCCTAATCTGGCCTTCAAGATTTCTGCTGGCAATCACCCCACGCCTGCTTGCTCTTCCCTCCTTCCCTCCTTCCCTCCTTCCCTCCTTCCCTCCCTCCCTCCTTCCTTCCTTCCTTCCTTCCTTCCTTCCTTCCTTCCTTC